TATGAAAATTAATAAAATATAATTATAGGAAAAAAAAATCTTTTTGCCTTATGTCTCTTCACTTTCAAGCCATTCAGATTATCTACCAATCACATCAACTGTTTTATGAAATATGAGCATCTCCTATTCATCAAGAAAGTCTTCTTGACCTTATAAAGGAATTACATTTCCTTTTCCTGAAAAGCTTCTCTGTCTTCCACAGCTTATTTATTTGGTAAATTCAATTCCATCTTCAAATTCCTACATGAGAATTTTTTATTCAGTTTTCTCAATGTTCCTATCTTCTCCCTCTCAGTTTTTAAAATGTCTCCTTCACACTTCAAACTATATAGCTTTACCATTGCTCCTATTTTAAAGACCACCTTTCTCAAGGATAACCTGTACTTCATAGCTTTGATTCTAGCAGTTTCTGTATCTCTGAATCTTCACCTTATCACTATCTTTCTCTGTACAATTAGGCCTCCTCTTAACTATATTATCTCTTTTAAGTCCTTCAGTATCTTTTCACACTAACAATGGGACCAGTCTTTGAAGAAGGATATCATTCTTGGAAAAGTTGAGGAACAGTGCAGGAGAGGAAGACCCCAGATAAGATGAACTGACACAATAACTAGCAAATTAAATGTAAGTGTGTCAGAGACAGCGAGACTGGCTCAGGATAGAGCAAGGTTCAGAGCTATTGTGCATAGGGTCACTATCAGTCATAGCTGAATCAATAGTAACAATAACATGGGCAAAATCTTGAATGATCCAGGAACCATTAGAAGAAGATAAAGGGAATCCAGAGTCACCGTGTATTCTAAAAGAATTGACTGATACTGAAAATTTTCAGGAAGTGCCATATGAACAAGAGCCAATGGTAATGACAGAAGTTGTTCAACAGAAGGTACTAGCAAAAAAGAAGATGCAGCCATAGGCATGCTTACCAGTCTATGCCAGGAAATTTGGAGGACACCTGCCTGGCAGATTGGAAGAGATACTTATTTGTTCCCATATCCAAGAAAGATGATCCAACACAACGAGGAAATTATTGAATAATATGATTAATATCACATGCAAAGGAAATACTGCTGAAAGTCATTAAAAAATTATTAACCAATAAATAAATAGAGAACTGCCAGAAGTTAAAGCAGGATTTAGAAGAAGCGATGGCACCAGGGATATTGGTGTTGGCAGATGGATCCTGACTGAAAGTAAAGAATACTTGCAGAATGTCTTTTTATGATGTATTGACTGTGTCAAGGTATTTAACGGTGTGGATCATAACAAATTATAGCTAACACTAAGAATGGGAATCCTAGAACACTTAATTGTGCTCCTGTAAAACCTATACTTAGAAAATTGCCATTTGACCAGCAATTTAACCCAAGTAACTTATCTAAAAGCACTGAAAACATGTCCATACAAACACTGCCCACAGAAATCTTCATAGCCATCACAAAAAGTGAGAAGAAATCAAATGTCTATCAATAGATAATGGAAAAGCATTGTATATTCATAAAATGAAATACAATTCAGTCACAAAAACAAATGGAGAATATATATTACAAGCTGGATTTCCCTGAAAATATTATACGTAGTAATAAGATACCAGACACAAAGACCACAGAGTGTATGATCTATTTATACAAAATGTCCAGAAAAGTACATATAAAGTGAAAAGTAGATTAGCGGTTGCCAGAGCCTGGGAGGACGGGAATGGTCAGAGACTAGTAACGGTGTGCATCTTATAGAGTGTATTATGAAAACGTTCTGGAATTAGATGGTTGTGATAGTTGCCTTACATTAGGAATAAATTAAGAATTATGGAATTGTGTACTTTCATAGGTTGAACTGAAAAATATGTGAATTATATTTTTGTGAGGTTTGTGGGGGTTTTTTTAGATTAATTTATTTATTTTCTTTTCTTGTTGTGTACTGTCAAATAAGATCCGACTGGCAGGGGGGAAGACTGCCCCTCCTTCTCCAGCAGAGCATCTGGTGAATTTGAACCGCACCTCTTTGGTTGCACCTCAATGCAGCTTCTTTGCCACTAGGCCACAAGAGCTCCCGGTGAATTATATTTTAAATAAAGAAAAAGGCTGGCATTTACACAGGCCAGTAAAAGTCATGGGATATTTACAGTGGGTGCAGTGATTGTGTGCTTTATATATATTTATCTCCTCCTTCATTTTACTAGTGATCAGCTGCTGCAAAATCTGTCTTATCTACTTCTTTAGCAAGCTAAAAGCAAACAGTTCTCAAGAGGAACATTTTTCATTCATATTTAAGAACTCTGACAAAAATACCAGATCAAAGTTGAAGACATTATTAAATTGATCACTGCTCACCATCAAATATTTTTTCTCCTCCTGGTCTTGACACATTGAGATGGCATCTTGAGGTGGAATCATATTCCAAAGTCCATCACTACCCAAGATAATATACTTGTGCTTCTGGGGATCAAGATTGTGGACACTGGTATCTGGTTCAGGTGACACAACAAACTCACCACTGAAGAAATCATAGCTCCACAAATCACCTGGGGACAGGACACAAAAGAAGAAAAGCATTATTTTTAAACCAGTATTATTACATCAACAGATTAAGTCAATGGGCTCATCTTAACAAATGCAGAAAAGAGTTTTATAATATTCACAATTCATTCATGATTATAAAAAAAAAAAAAACACAAAACCTCTTTTGCACTCTTCTTTCCAACATGGTCTTGGAACAATAAGCTTCTGCAAAACAGAATGACAAAAAGAGGACCCATTCTAATACCTATGATGTGGTGAGCAGAAAAATATAACATCAACATTCACGTAGTGGACTTCAAGAAGCTTGCCCTTCACGCCTTCAGAGATTTATATAGTTGCTATGAAGGAGATGAAAATGTCTTATGTGAACAATGATACCAGGTTTGAAAAAGCTGCTTGGACTAAAGGAAGAAAGAGGTCCCATAACTTACCCATATATGGTTGTCCAGAAAAACTAATGTGGAAGATTTACCAACCTCAATACAATGTTCATCTGTGTCATCACTTTTCAAAAATTCATCAGTATGGCTTACTGATTGATTACAGTTTAGGTGATTATGAAATAAGAAACTAGCAAACTAGGAATAAAAGGGAACTACCTTAACTTGATAAAAGAACATTCATCCTAAGTAAGGTACTTCTTTAAACATAAAATGTTAAAAAGCATTTTCTTTATAAACAAAGAATAACAAAAATAAATCTGTTGTCATCACTTCTCTTCCAATGTTATACCAGAAGCCCTTCCCAGTGTAGTAAAAGAATAAAAAATATTAAATATATGAACTAGAAAGAATAGGGAATTATCATTATTTTGTGATAATTTTATTTCTATGGGAAATAAAAATTATTAAGATAAGAAAGTTTAGCAAGGCTTATATTTAATACAAACCAAACACATAAAAAAAAATCAATTACACTTATCTCTGTTCTAGAGGTAGTGGTTTTTCCTTATATCTGCTATTTCTGCATTCTTACAGTTTCATTTACCCTTCATTAGGTCACCCCATTATGTTGTTGTTGTTGTTATGTGCTGTCGAGTCGCCTGCGACTCATAGCGACCCTATGTACAACAGCCCTAAACTCCGCTCTGTCCTATGCCAATCACACTGTCTCTAGACACTCTCATCCCAATTATCCCAGTCACTGAATCAATCCACCTCATAGAGGGCCTTCCTCTCCTGCGCCGTCCCTCCACCCTCCCAAGCATGATGTCCCTCTCTAAG